CGTCAGCCAGCTCAGGCAGGGCTGTTGATACATAGCAGGGAGCCAGGTATATAATCAACAAGCCCACTTGTACCCCTTGCCCCCATTTCACAAGGAGGGACTCCACGCCGTCTATCTGAGGCACAGTGGTCTCCCTAGGACAAAGGCTCTCCCTTATAATGACCGCTACCCCCCCGCCCCTACCCCGGGTCCTCGGCCGTTGAAATGCCTGAAAACCCGGCGGGCAGATGTCTACCAGAGGTACTCCTCCTTCTACGCCTAGCCAGGTCTCAGTAATACCTGCCAGGTCCGCACCCCCCTCTAAAATAAGGTCTTGTATGAGGGGGGCCTTATTAACCACGGACCTGGCATTACATAGCATCAGCCGATGGTCCCGGGCCGGAGGGTCTAATTCTCCTGGGGACCGGGTAGAGACCTGAGGACCGGAGCACCCACAAGCTTGTAAATAGCGTGTGCGTGCTCCCCTAACTTGATATGGTCCTCTGCTCCCGCCATATCTGCCCCTCCCACTGACCGTACTAATTCCTCCAGTCTATCCTCCAGACCATGAGATTCCAAGCAGTTTACAATAAAAGAACATTAAAAAATACCCCATTTATCCCTCAACCCCTCCCAATTAAAGCCACATTGCCAATTCAGCTAAAACACAACCCCAATCCAAGATCTAAGGAAATCAAAATGCAAGGGTGAGCCAGCCCAGTGTGAATGCTGAATTTACCCACCCAAAGGGCTGCTTCCATTCTATCTTTCTGTTCCATTTCACCCACCTAAAACAATGTCACACTTCTACAAACATTGGAGTTTCCCGGAGTTTATTGATACCTCCACCTTGTCGGTGAAAAGTGTCACTGCGGCTGGAGTGTTTGTTGTCCATAGGATGGAATAAAATGTTCCAAAATACTCATATCAAAGTGAAACTTTGTCAAGTTTTCTCCTGGGGGCTCCAAGACAGCATTTGTGGTCTTCCTGTGGACTCATCTTTAGTTTCACTGTTTCCTGCCGCAACTTTTAGCAGGTCTGTTCACTGACTAGCAAATGAGGCCGAAAGGAAATGTACACGCCAACAGAGATCGGGCCCCAGAATCAATTATGCATTTCCTTTCCATTTGAGGTATTAGAAAAACCAAGAGTGAAAAAATGCAGCAAGCGTGGTTTAAATACATGTGAATGTGTATTTTAAATGGAACCAAATATGTAGAGAAAAGAAGGACTAGGGGGGACATGATAGTAGTATTCCAATTTTGAAGGGCTGCCACAAAGAGGAGGGGGGTCAACTTATTTTCCAAAGGACCAAAAGGCAAGACAAGAAACAATGGATGGCAACTAATCAAGGAGAGAAGCAACCTAGAATTAAAGAGAAACTTCCTAACAGTGAGGACAATTAATCAGTGGAATGGCTTTCCTCCAGAAATTGTCGGTGCTTCATCACTGGAGGTTTTTAAGAAAGAGACTGGACAGTCACTTGTCTGAAATGGTATTGGGTCTTCTGCTTGAGCAGGGGTGGGGTTGGACTAGAAGACCTCCAAGGTCTCTTCCAGCTCTATTCTGATTGATTGATTGACGTTGGAGAACGGGAAATGGGGAATGATTCATTTCCACCACATTTTGGCTTAGCATCCTCCCACCTACCCGGCATTAGTCAGAATTCCCAGGTTGAGTTCAGACATTGCCCTAAGCCAGGGTTCTCCAAAATGGTCAATATGGACCCACCAGGGTAGTTGAGACTATCCATTATGGTTGTTATGGTTATTATTCACAGTACTACTAGCGAATGTACTTATTATTAAATGATTTTCATCTAAGAAATGTTTGGGGGGAGTCAAATGAAGAATCCGAAATGAAATTTCACAAAGGGGTGGATGGCAGTACGAGAAAGACCTGGAGAAAAGAGTGAAGAGGTGCTACCTAGGGAATAGAATAGAATAGAATAGAATAGAATAGAATAGAATAACAGTTGGAAGGGACCTTGGAGGTCTTCTAGTCCAACCCCCTGCTCATGCCATTTCAAACAATGATAGATAAGAGATGGTAAGCCCTCAGCTGTATAAAAGGCAGAGAAAAAAGCTGAGAAGAAACCCTCCCTAACTTCCCAGACTTCAAAGGAAACAAGATTTGCCCTTTCAGCCTTACAAGACTCTGTTCAGGTAGACTCACAATAAAGTAAGAGTTGCTCCAATAAAAGAGAGTATGTGCAGCTCAGGGTTGAAATGAAGGGTCCTCGGTGCTCTCTGAGTTTGGTTGTGTCTTGCAAGAAAACAATCAAGCTCAGAGAGCACCACAGACCCCTAAGAGTAGCTCATCTCATCATGACCATCACCATCCCAAGAGCTCCCGGCAGAGAGAAAATGAGTAATCTAACCCAATGACCCAAAATATTTCACTCTTTGAAAGAATCTGCATCCTTGAGAACAGTCCTTAAACCACCCCCAGCTGGCCTTACTCCCTGCAGACCAAGGAGAACGTTGGCTTGGTCTCAACATCCAGGAGGTGAAGCTGAGCCCAGCCTAATCCTAAAAAGCTGCAAGTTCCTCTACCAAATACTGGTTCTCTTGAAACCATCAAGATATCCCAGAACTGAATTCTGGGCACTGAATTCAAGTTCTGGTGGTTACGTACCTCGCAGTGACAGGAGAGCTAGCACCCAGACTTGGGGGACGCAAGTCATCATCTTGAGGTGATGCCTGATCGGCTTCCTCTCCGCTTCCGACCTCAGGGGCTTGCTGCCGACTTCTCCTTTTCAACAGAGCAGCAAAAGTCATGTCCCATGACTTCATCAGTGGCAGGTCTGCCTTCTTCCTTTCCACTCCTTCCCCCGTATCTTCACACCCTGCAAAGGGACAACTGATCTCCCAAGCTTGTACGTGGGGAAATCTGCACCTCTCTCTCTTTAGAGTGTTCACTTTGTGGTCAGCGCCGAAGCACAGCTCAGCCACCAGTTCTTGCAAAGTTCACTGTGCAGGCATCTCATAGCTTCCTGGTGGGTGTGCCCCAAATTGCCTCTCATACAAATTGGACAAGCCGTGTTACATTTAGGCAGGACAGACCAACTGCTGGTTCCTTAAGGAACGTGGACTTTTGCCTTTGTGAATCACAATGCTCCAGTGACATCTGTCTGTCTCTTTCTATCTCTATCATCCTCCTTAACATTGATGCTAATCATACCATTATGGGCTATTCCTGGTTGCTTCCACTTGCAAATGCATCGCCATGTTGATTGACAGCAGATAGTCCCAGGACTTGTCTGTTTTAGCCTTCCAAGAGACCGTGTCAACTTTGCCTTAACACTTCGGTTTGCACAAATGTGTTGTTGCATCTACTGATTGATTTTGCTGCCAGGACCACCCTCCTGTTACTCAGTTTTTATTCCACCTACTAGTATAGTGATTGTGTTGCATTGGTTTGCTAGTGATGCTGATGGACTTTACAGGAAGTGAAAACGGGACTGTCCTTGCAAATTAGAGGTATAAAAAGTCCTGCACCTTGCAGTGAAGTGCATTCTTGCCAACCCCAAAAGAACTGAAAACGAAATTTATTGGCACGATTCAGGACCAACTTTAACCATCGTCTTTTTAAATCCCTTTTTGCTCTGTGGGACTCCCTTCCTCATAAAGTTTATGCAACTTGCAGTGTCTGTTCCTTAGCATGATGGGAAAGGGAGAAATATATCTGTATCCATTTTTTTAAAAAATATACCCTTTTAGAAAGGGTTTAGAAAGGGTCTACCACATCCTGTTTCAGTTGTCCTTTCTGCCAAATTGGAAACCACCGTACATTAACTCAATTGTTCCCAGACCTTGTGTCCAAATAATATTCTGGAGAGACAGTAAGAGCCGTTTTGCGGAAGGAAAATAAATAAATAAATAAATAAATACACACTTTGAAGTGTGGTTGTGAGAAACTGAGACAGATTTCTTTTATTGAGATCAATTCCTTTTCAAATGACAACATGTGGAACTTGAGCAGTAACAGAAAGAAAAATATAAGCAGCAATCCTCTCCTTAAACACACACACACGCACACACAAAAACACACAATTTACATCCAAAGGGAAAATCTGCAAAAGGAGGCATAGGATTTCCCCTTTCATACCAGATAACACTCTGAAAAACTTAAAGCAACAATAAAAAGGACGTTGCTTATTTAGCACCAATCCCTTTAACAGAAAATCTTAGTCCACTCCAAACTCCTTGCAAACTCTTTTTAAAAAAAAACAAAAAAAACAAAAACAAAGCACCATAACGAAAAAAACACTAACATTTGGTTATGGGAAGGAGACTAGGTAAACCTTTCCCAAATATTCCAAAAATATATTTTTTGCATGTCATTTTTTAAAAGATTCCTTGCTTCTCATTTCCCTGAATTCAGCAGTTTCCTTTTTAGAGAGGTGTGCTGGCTCGGAAGCCAGCCCTGCCACATTTGAGAAATTTCTCTCCCAAATCAGTGCACGATTACGACTAACATGCTAAAATAGGTACTTGGTGAAAAAAATGGACATTTATCCAATCATCCCTACATGAGCATCAATAGTAACAACTGAGTAAGAACCTGGAACATTTAGTCAGTGAACAAGTTTTGATACGTTAAGATTGACCTACTTTGGGGATGGATGCTACTCAAACGTGGGGGTTTTTTTTGTACAGTACATCATTAAGTATGAACAACCTGCAAGCTGTCAGTGCAAAACACAATTCCCGCCCCAATTAAATACGTATCAGTCACCCATAGGTCGGCTTTGATTGTCAAACACGGTTCAAAGATCGCAAGGACTCTTCTGGAAAAACAAGCCTAAAGAAGCTAGACTTTCGGTCATTGTTAGAATATCTGTACATAGCCAAAAATATTTTAAATTACATACGTGTGTGTATATATATATGTATGTGCAGGTGTGTGTGTCTATACACATATGTATACATCTCCAAAAATACTAGCAGCAACCAACTGCATAATACAAGGCCTGCAATTGCTCTCCTGCGCTCAGTTGCAACTTCTTGACTTTTCACTGTACATCCCTGGTTAAAAATAACGCTTTTCAGAACGCCTTCTTTTACAATGGGTAGAATGTACATAATTTAAGTAAATTTACATATTGCACACCAGGAGCTTTCAGGATCAGCGTTGCCCCCTATGCTACGCTGGCTGGAAGCTCCTTTTTTAAAGCAAAGCTTATCCTATATGTAAGATACAAATGGCAGCCCCGTGGCAGCTCCGTTGAGGGCTGGCCAGCCCTACCCTTTGGCAGAATTCAGGAAGGTGCCAACAAGGTTTGGAGACGTAAGCTCTGTGCCCAGAGTACCTACTTGGTGCTCCCTAAACTAGTCTTGAGCCTTGAGGTGCAGTAGGGAAGGTGATGGGACCATATCACCACTACGGTTGAAGAAAGATTTAACTGGCAGTTGGGTTGGCTTTGGTATGTGGATAAAAAAGGGAGCACCATTTTGATCGTTGCCTTAGATAGCACAATATTTTGGGTTGAATTGAAGCCGGTTTTTCTACCATTCAAACTACCTGCAGCACTAAGGAATAGAGGCAGTCCTTGACTCACAAGCCTTCGCTTAGCAATTGTTGCAAAATGACTTACAAAGCAGCCTTCGCACTTAATGATTGTTACCGTGTCCCCAGGGACATGTGATCCAAATTTGGGCCCTTGGCAACTGGCAGATCTTTATGACGGTTACAGCATCCCAGGGTAATGTGAGGGCAATTGGTGACTGTTCCCTGGGGTCTTCTGACAAGTGAAGCCAATGGGGGAAGCTGGATTCGCTTAATGATCATTTGATTTGCCTAACGACTGCAGGAAAAAGGTCATAAAATCAAATGCAGCAGAGAATTTGGTCTCAATTGTGATTGTTACGTTGAGGATCACTGGTAATGTAAGAACCATAGTTTACCAAGTTAGTGTTGGCGTGTATCTGCTGGGGTCAACTTTATGTCTGGTGAAACTATCTTAAGATACTTATCGTCCCAACCAGACACCAAAAAGTTAGTCCCTTGGACTTTTCATACTGGCCTTGAATGTAGTTGAAGGTAAAAGCTGCATCTTTAAACTGCCTAAATGCGTGGAAAAGTACTACATTTTTCAAACAATTTGATAAACTGATGTTTATCAATTCAACATAGCATTTAAACATACCTTAAAATGGCACCGTGAAACAGGCAGCTCTGCGTATCTGAAGCTTAGGGACCCCCATTTCTATGTATTCTGAACTCGCATTTTCTGGGTGTACCTTTAGCTAAATTACCACCTCTCTTGTATCCAATTGTTATTAAATAATTTTTTCTAGTTCTGTTAGCAAAACTTCCCCTCTTTAATTCCCAGTCACCAAGTTCACACCAACAGGAAACCAACAGGCACTGCAATATTTTGAATATTCAAGATTACCATCCAGCTTAATCCCATTACTAGATATATCCAGGACCAGATCTTGTGTGTTTGGTGGGTTATCTAAGAGCTGATCCAGTAGCACCCACGTTTAGATTATCCACCAGAACTCAAAATGTCTCAGAGTCACAGACGGAAGCCTTGTCCTCTGACTCATGATAGGACCAGCTCTATGTACAAACAGCCACAAAATGAGAACACTTTTCATTTGCTTGTTTGCACAAGGAACTCTGGAGGCTAATTGCCCTAAAACCAGTTAGGACAAACAATACAAAAAGAATGAAACGAGACCACCTTTTGTGGATACCGATGATTATAAGGGACTTGTGAAGTTTGAAAAGTCAATATTCTGATGAGTAAGGGAGGGGGGAAAATGGGGGAGGATAATAAACTTTTATGGAAAGGAATCCTCGTCCTGCAGGCAAAATCCCAGTCCATTAAAAGAGTACCTTAACGGTGCCTTGCCTGAGAAATATTTATGAAAGGGGAAGAAAAAAAGAAAAATGCACGGAAGATCTGCCCCACGTGGTTGAAGACGATGGCCTTGGGGGTCATGTGCACGTTCAATGTGCCCCCCCAATCTGGCCAGCTTGAGTTGTATGTTCAACTTGGTTGGCTATATCATCAAGAGGTGCTGATCGTGGTTGAAATACATCATTTCCAATAAAGTTCAGAGTTTCTCCAGTCTCTAACTAGAGAATTGTGTCACCGGAGGTTTTTCAGTATGGCAAGATAATGCAGGTAGTCCTCGCCTTACGACAGTTTGTTTAGTGACCGTTCAAAGTTACAACGGCACTGAAAAAAGTGACTTATGACCAGTTTTCACCCTTACGGCCGTTGCAACATCCCCGCGGTCATGTGATCAAAATTCAGCTGTTTGGCAACTAACTGATTCATATTTATGACGGTTGCAGTGTCCCGGGGGGGTGTCACGTGATCCCCTTTTGCGACCTTCTAACAAGCAAAGTCGGTGGGGAAACCAGACTCACTTAACAACCGTGTTGCTAGCTTAACAATTGCAGTGATCCCCTTAACAACTGTGGCAAGGAATGTCGTAAAAAGGAGCAAAACTCACTTCACCATTGTTTCACTTACTGTAGCAACAGAGATTTTTGCTCAATTGTGGTCGTAAATCGAAGACTACCTGTACATTAGTGTGCAAACAAGACTTCCCTGTACAAAATCTCTCTCTCTCTTTCTTTTTATATTCTGATTCCTTTTGTTCATTTCAAATAATTGATTTGATAACCCAGTCCTGACAATGCTAGAAAAATTAGATATACTGTATG